TTGTTTGTATGTGTTTACTTTGAATCCTGCAACTAACATTTTTAAACTAATACCACACTGCAGTAGCTCCATCAAAACGTATACACCTAGCGGTCAGTCTACAGATTTACAACGTTAAAATCAGAGGTTCGATTCCGTTCGGTGGACACAGCAGATAGCCCCGTATGGCTTTGCTATAAAAAAACACACACATACCTAGAATATTCTTTAGGGAAATACCACTGCTGATTTTTTTATCCAATCACAAACGCATGATGTCACCAAACATTATGAATATTTTTTTTAAATCCACATCAAATTGTATACTCAAACTGTGTTTTGCTGCCTCAGCCTAACTTAGTAAAGGTTTTTCTGTTATATAAACGATGCTGAAACAATTTATGCGACATCAAGATGTTATACTGACGTCCCTAAAGTGACATTCGTGAAACCTTAAACAATGGGATATTATATACTCTACGAATATGTGTTTCTAATGTCTTCGTGTTTCTAAAAACTCCTACGTGTGTTGTGACGATTGTCTCTGAAATATCTTGAAAAAACAAGTAGTAGTTGTGTAGTGTTACAATTATGCAAAAGTTAACATGGGAAATTCGAAATTTTACTCTAAGGGAAATCATACTGTCATACTTGTAATATTTTCGAATATGCAGAATGGTAGTAGTTTTGTTTTAGCACGACTTTAACCACAGATTATCATTTTTTTTCCAACAGTGCTGATGGAAACTACGAGGTCCGATATAAGTCTAATGTTCTTATCTATCCAAATGGACTGGTGATGTGGGTACCTCCCGCCATTTATCAGAGCTCGTGCACCATTGATGTGACATATTTCCCTTTCGATCAGCAGAAATGCGTTATGAAATTTGGATCTTGGACGTTCAATGGCGACGAAGTATCTTTAAAACTGGATAGCGATAACAGATGGGTAGATCTTTCTGCATATTGGAAGAGCGGTACATGGGACATTGTCGAGGTACCGGCATTCCTGAATACGTACAATAATAGCAGAGAGGGCAAACCTACTGAAACAGACATCTCTTTCTACATAACAATTCGTCGAAAAACACTCTTCTACACAGTGAATCTGATTCTTCCCACTTTTTCCATATCTTTTCTCTGTATTCTTGTATTCTATCTTCCGGCAGAAGCTGGAGAAAAAGTGACTCTTGGAATATCGATTCTACTCTCTTTAGTAGTGTTCTTGTTGCTAGTGTCGAAAATATTACCTCCTACGTCTCTCGTTCTTCCTTTGATTGCCAAGTACCTGCTCTTCACATTTTTAATGAATACCGGTTCAATCCTGGTAACAGTAATAATTATCAACTGGAACTTCCGAGGACCACGGACTCATCGAATGCCCAACTGGATTCGAGTGGCATTTTTAAAATACTTGCCTATTATTCTGTTTATGAGGAGGCCAAAGAAAACTAGGTTGAGATGGATGATGGAGATGCCAGGTTACGGAACGCACCATTTGTACCATAGCTCACCGGAAGGTAAGCCGTATAACACGAGAAACAAATCAGAATTTATGGAGCTAGCTGACATTCACCACCCTAACTGTACGGCGGCAAGAAAACCCTCTCCAGAACCGGAAGTTCAGCTGTTGGACACAGAGGCGCAAGACACCTTGTTCCTATCGCCCAAAGCTTATAGAGCAACTGAAGCTATTGAATTTATTGCTGAACATTTACGCAGTGAAGACGAGTACATACAGGTAAGATAACTGTGTTCAATATTAATATAATTTTTACGAATATCTATCTTGATCTTGATCAGGTTCTAGATCCTTTTCGGGATGTTTGGTTTGGTTTGAATTTCGCGCAAAGTTATTCGAGGGCTACGTGCGCTGCAGTCTCTAATTTAGCAGTGATAGATTAGAGAGGCGGCAGCTAGTCAACACCACCCACCGTCAACTTTTGGGCTACTCTTTTACTAACGAATAGTGAGATTGACCGTTACAATATAACGCCCCCATAGCTGAAAGGACGATCATGTTCGGTTACAGTGAAATATAATGTAAAAACTAGATGTCAACGAAATAGTAACTTTATAATGGGATGTTTTTTGACGACCAAGTATTGTTAGTTGTGTTCGTTGTCGACGTTTATTTCTGAGGTTGAAAATAGGAAAACTTGCTGAATAACATTTGGTAGTATTGCCTACTAAACGTACACCGTTTTTTAACACTTCTGAATTTCAAGTGTTATAGAAAACTCTAAAATATTTTTTTTTAACATACTTCCATGCAATCCCTACAGTGTTTTTACGCAAATAAAAATATGACAAGATATTATATTCTATTGCCTTTGCAATGCTTTTATCTTTATGTTTATCAATTTTCTGTAAGCACTTCTTTTAGAAACATTTTTGCGCTAGACATTCAATGTCTGTCTTAGACCGTTCGGCTACTTATGGTACAATGTTTTGCGATCAGTTTTTACAACTATTCTGAATATCATTTACGTATATTATCTATAATAAAAAAACGGAATTTTCCATTGATCTAAATATTCTTAACCATATCTTTCGAAATCTCGTTCAAACAAGATCTAGCTGTGAGGAATAGTCGAAATATTGTCGTACTTTGAGGTTAGCTTAGAACAACGAGGTTGAGAAATTAAACGTAATGTGCAAAGTATCGTGCATTCCGACAGATAACCAGTAAGCTATTAATCACCTTATTTCTCAATAGTTTCTGAGCACACTATCTACTTACGTAACATTCATGCTAAATTGAAACGATAAATCATTTCTTTTGTTCCGTGTTGTTTTTTCTTTTAGCAGTTGTCTTTCTCTACTGTTAGACTGAACTGAAGCGTATTCTAGCGCACCTTCTGAAACGTACTGTTTTAATGAAATGTTATGGGAGAAGTTTATGACAGATTTAATTTATGATGTATGTACAAAGAATTCGTAGATTTCAAGGTAATTCTTACCCCAGAAACTGATATTGCACGCAAGGTGATGTTCATTTATGTAAAAACCCTTAAGGTAATCTCGAAGATACTTGATGATTTAAATTGTGGGTCTAGGCGCTACCCTGGCCCCTTTTTTTACGTGTTTTACTGTTTCTTGGAATCATCATTTCCAAAAACTTTGTTGGCTCGAAATTACACATAATTTCTTCCAAAAAAAAACACGTTATTTTGAATAATTATTGCAATAAGTATGACTAAAAGAATGAGAGCAAAGAAATGATAATTTAAGAAACAAGAGTATTAAAAATTATGAATTTTAAAATAAAGTAGGGATCCTGCTATAAAAAGTAATGAAACAAGAATTAAAATCATAATCAGAAATTTATACAATTTAATCATTACTTTGGCCTACAGATAAGTGTATAAAGCTGTCAAAGTAGATATTAAATTTTATCCGAATATCACAAGCGGATACTCACAGACCAGTCAAGTAAACTGCAGAAACCTTGTAGCGACAGTTCGAGCCATCTAGGCGCTAACCCCGCTGACGTGATCAGGTAGGTAGATAGTAGACGAAAAAGTTGCTGTTTTAGAAATTTTTGAATTGTTATACCGGAAACATTAGCGACATATCTTAACCAATACTTTGAATGGTCGGTTTTTCGCTTAGGAATTTGATAGGTTGGCTTTTCGGCGCGTGAATTATGTGGAATCCTTGTCGATCCCTACTATTAAGTACTACTGTATTTAAATTTTCATAACAGCTGTATGTCAATTTCGCTTTAACAATATTAGTAACTATCATGTTTTTAAAACAGATATCTCAGTATAAATTTTGTTTGTTTTTTGAATTTTGCACAAAGGTACTCGAAGGCTACCTGCATTAGCCGTCTCTAATTTTCAAATGATAGACTAGAGAGAAGGCAGCTAGTCAATACCACCCACAGTCTACTCTTGGGCTACTTTTTACTGACAAATGTAAAGATTGAAAGACACATTATAACGTTTCCTACGGCTGGAAGGGCGAACATATTCTGCGACGGATTTCAATCTCTCCACTCGCCGATTGTGTGGCGAGTTTCCTAACCACCAGGCCGTCAATATAAAATATAGAGCACAGAAAGTTATATTTCATGTTTGCTATTTATATGGTAAAGCTACTATGGCTATCTGTCTCTGTCCTTAATTTTGAACTATTTGAACTCCTGTCCAGAGTGAAGGCAGTCAGTCAACAGCACTTCTGCCACCCATCATCCGAGTTAATGGATTGATTGTCACTCTTTGAACCGACCTACAGCTTCAAGCGCGCGTGTGTGTAGGGGGGTATTTGACCCGGCTCGCTAGTTACGATAACCAGAGTTCTACTACAGGAACAACCCGCGCCTTGTAAAACCTGGAACTTTTGATACTTATAGGTGTGTCTTTATGTAAAATTCCAATAAGAGTGACTATCGCAAGTGTCGAATCTGGTCCGTTAATGAGACTTTACTTTTCACAACTTTAATTCATCCTTTATTGAAACTATCGTAAAACTTCCAGTGGTATTCATAGCACAATCAATATCTAATTGACAACAAGGGATGCATATAAACGTGGTTTTAATTACTACTGGCCATGTAAATAGTGTATCTTATGTACATTAAAACAGAAAAGAAGACACTTTATCAAAGAGCAAAAAGTTTTAACTGTGTTAAGGAAGTATTCAAGAAAAACGACCAATCAGAAACCTACCGTTAAAAGCACACTCAGAGTAAACACTAATGAAATGTTCAGCAAATTGTGATACGAAAACCAGTAGGTTCTAAACAGGTTTAAAACCAATAGGGTTAAGATAGCAATTACATTTTTTGAAAATGATATATTAAAAGGGTGGTCAAAAACTTAAGTTGTCAATTACTTAATTATATAGCCCTTCTGCACGGAATCTTTTTCTACTTCTTCTTTGAGCCTCTGCGAGACTTTAAAGATACGTAAATCATGTGATATTCGAACTAATGATAAAAAAAGCCTTACTTGAATCGTATTACTAATCATATTAACATACATAAATATCTAAAATATAAAAGGGAAATAATTTTAAGATACTTAATGCAATATCGTCCACTGTAAGTATAGGGAAGTACTGAAGACTACTTAATTTCACTTGATTTATCCAACATCATACCAGTATCGAAGTTGTGATACCCTGCGTCAATATTATGAACTTTGAAAGTAATATATCTTTTAAACTCGATATAGAACACTTGTTTTCTTATTCATGGCCTCAGGAGTAAGTGGTCTATAAGAATCCATTAAATAAATGGGTCTTTAAACAAATATATTGCATTTTCATTCACACTTTACAAATTACTTAATAACTTACCCTGCGTCCGGTACATAACTTTTTAAAATACGTTGTTCGGTCATAAGATATATAAACCATTAACATACTATATATAACAAGTTTAAGAATGAACCGTTGGCTATATTCAACAAGGGTATTTAAGCCTGAATATTCTGTGCTTTTATGTATCCTTATGCCAATACAGCATGAAAGCACTGACTTCTACCTAATGGAATAACAAGTAGCAAGCCTCCCCCCCCCCTGTTTATATGGCTAAAGTGACTTTAAGCATGTGATTTCTACACAGCACTTTCTATTTAAAACACCTGTTCACCTCATAAAACCGACGAAAACAGAAGCGTAAATATCGTTTATTGAGCACTAGGCCGCCTGGGGCCAGTATGGGTGGAATTTTCTCAAAGTAAAGGAAAGAGTGTGTTTTAACATTATTAAACAAAACTTCTCATTGTACAGTCAGACTGCTAGATTTATGACCAGATGTTTGTTGCAGGTTTCAAAGTAAACATATACAAACAACGAGTTTAAAAATGTTAGTTGCAGGATTCAAAGTAAACATATACAAACAACGAGTTTAAAAATGTTAGTTGCAGGATTCAAAGTAAACATATACAAACAACGATTTATTTGACATGTAGAAAATATTTTTAAAAAATTACGGTAAGTCCGTAAACTTACCGCTGATCCACAGAGGGGTCTGTTACACAATAGAAAAATGGTGGAATTTATTGAAATACTACCTACGAGGAACACTATCCTATCATGAAACAACATGAACCTTTATATCAAGTAATTTATTGTTATTGTCATAAAGTTAACAATATCTGATTACGTAATGTTTTTCTCCTTCAATAAGACAGCGTCCAAACTGTACACCAAATGTTGTTTCCATAATGATAATAAATTATTTTTTACCCGATGTTCACGGAGGAAATATTTGTTGTTTCCAACTTCTTGGTCTCATGCGTATGCTGTAGTGAGCATCAAACGACAATTTCTAATTACATTGTAAATCATTCCAAATCTTTATGTTACATATCTTTTCCATAGGGACAACAATCGTCTTACCAGAAATGTTTCTCATATCTCATTTTCTACTAATTGGTATCATTTATATTTGTCGATATGTGGGAAAAAAGGCCTTAGATCTTGTAACATGATTTCTTTAAGTCAGACGTATCCGATAAATATCTTAACAAGTAAAAATTCATCTATATATTTAAACTATTCTTTTGAACTAATAAAGTTGAATGAATGAATCATAATTATTTTGTTACTTACAAAAATTTAATACTTAGATGTTTACTAAAAGCTTGTTTGAGAACATTAATGATGGTATTATCACTTTATTTTTTGATATGATAGCTGTATAATTCAAGCACATTTTTTAATACACTCAAATGACAGTTAACTTCCATAAGCAGAATGATGACTGGAGAACAAGCAAGGTTTATC